CTGGTCTGGTCTGTAGGTCGCCGACACGCTCTTCGTCGTCCTCTTCGCGACAAGCTCCGGTACGCTCACCATAAATCAAGGTGGCAGCACGTGGACCACGGCCGTGGTTGTCGGTCCCAACAGGCTGAGCCACGCGCTCGTCGCTACGACATCTGTTACCGCAGTTTTGACGCGAAATAGCCAAACTGTCTTCACGTTCACCGCTCCGTTGATATTTGGACAAGGCAGTCCATCGTCCTACAACTTCAACTGCATCTCGGCCTCCGGCCCATGAGATCAAGCGACATCACTCTAGATCATAGCTTTAACACCAGGCGCATGTGCCTAGATGGCCTCATCCGTCTGAGACCCTCTTTGTTCTTCTATTGTAATTCGATATTTGTATATGCTTCCGCAAGTGCATTTCACATAGACTGTAGATTTGGGTTCTTTGTTGTTACGCCTTCGATTGGTATCTCTTCTGGCTTCGTTCGTTCATTCTCGGGCTGTATGGTCAGTTGTCATATCCCCAATAGGGTTGCTACTTCTCATATTGCACACAATCGTATATATTTCTTATTTATCTTTCGGGCTGCGGGAGAAGATCTTGAGATTCGGTATGTACGCCTGACGAATCCCGAACTGGTAACAAAGGTCAGGAAGCCACACTATCAACAGACAGAGAAGAAATAGCAGGAAAGTATGACTGTAAGTTACAGGGCCGTGGAGTAATAGAATCGGAAAATATTGCCGCTAGGAACGACAGACACTTCCTAACGCTAGTGAATCGGTCCCCTCGCCATGGTCAACATCCAGGCTTCCACAACGCCCGCCAGAGAGTCAACACTTAAGGTATGTTGCAGAGGATCTGCGGGTCGAGTTTGATTGGGAGAGGTACCTCCGGCCTTGGAACAGCCCAATCGAAGATTTGCATTAGGAGGCATAAGTCATGACAAATCCACTGGTTCGCCAGTCCAGTATTCTCCCTTTATCTCGAAATGAAGGAATGTTTCGCCGTTGAATCGGTGAGGGTGGACAGCGCTGATTGCGGTCAAGTGGAGACATCGCCTCATCAGCCAGCGACACACACCCGAGTACCAGCTGTTGACCGTTCACCCGGACTTGTGGGATTGATCTTCTATTTGAATGCTCTTCCATACTACAGAGTCGACACCCGGCCGAGTGCTATAGCCAGAGAAGGGGGGCCAAGAAGACACTCACTTATCTCGTCAGTTAGCGGTAATCTCATCTGTGCCGTCTTCCACCGTTTCACTTGCGTGAGGGGATCGAATGCGGTTTGCACCTGAAATTTCAACGCTCGGAACCCTCACCCCTCATATTAGCAAGTAACGAGTCACAATCGGGCGTATCAATTATATCTATCTACACAAGGGAGGTTTGAGCTAATGTACATTACGAGTACCCTCGATCCCAGTAATTAGACACACCTGAAGGCTATCTTAGGGCTTGGTCGTAGACGATTCAGAGATACGTGAGCTCACTCTAACAATACTTCACCATTCTACGCAGGACAATGCTCGCAAAATATAGTACACACGATTGAGGGGGTTATAAATTGCGAGGCTCATAAGGGCTTGAAATGCTCTGTATATCCCATAGCGCTTATCAAGCCAGAGCACATCTGAGATTCAATAAACTACACCAAGTTGCCCTCTCCTGTCTCCGATAAGCAAGTTTACAACACGAGCGTTACTTGCTGACTCTGGGATGCGCCTGAGTATAACGTAATTTGCGTTGTCCCGCTCGGAACCTGAGTCACACCATCAGTATAGCAGGTAGGAGCCCTAGAGGGACAGTCCTCACCGTGGAGCCTGAGAATGAAGTCGAACCGGAGTAGGCCAGAAGGAGGTTATCGCCAGAGTCGATCTGTTCCGACGGTCACATCAGCTGCCATTTGACGATAAAAAGGAACAACATGCTTACAGCAGTAAAAACTGTCCCAGAGGTGACGGTACTGGCGCAACTTAGTCCCGACGAGGTGACGGCACACAGACCCTTTGAAGATGTGAGCGTAAACCCGGATCCGGAGGTGGTCGTCTTGAAAGTGGCGCAGGTCTGCGTGCTCCATGTGCCATAAGAAAGCAGGCATCCAGTGGTGGAGCCGCCGGATATCATCACGTTGATCGTGGCGGACGCCGGGGGAGCGGTGCCCGTGCCAGTAGGACCAGCTGTCGTTGTTGTCTTCCGCGGAGCGTCCAATGTGATAAGCTCGTGCCCCAATCTGTAGATATGAACACTTACAGTGGTCGAACCACCCCCAACGGTGGTTGTGGGAGCTGGGTTTCCTGCTGTTTTTGTCAGGTATTTCAAGGCAGTCGTGGCGCAGGATCCAGCTTTAGGCGCATCTGCAAGCGAAAAGATGATGGCAGGCCCATCAGCACAACCCATCTCCCCACTCGAATTCATGTTGGCCTCAACTGATTGGAACCAGAGTCCCATCCACAAGAGATCCTTGCAGATTGAAGTAATAGTAGACCTGAGAAATAGCACCACTTGTGCAATCCATGGCAGGGGTGTAGCCCTGAGCGAGAAATAAGCAAAATGTCCACATCGATTGGCAATAGAAATTACTTACAAAGCCGGCTTGCAGCGCAGAAGTAATTTGAGCCAGAGTATGGGTGGAAGTTCCCGGAGTGATCCCAGCGTTCGCAAGCCAGGTGTAGGTGGGGAGTTGCTATTTCGGGTTTCAGCGATGCAAATCGGATCTCTCAAACGAAACGAGGGTTTACCTGGAAAAGTGAAACTACACGGGAAAAGAATGCTGTAGCCTATGGATTCATAGGAGAATCTCTTCAGTTTATGGCTCGATATGCAAACCGAGAATGCCATACATCAGCGCCGGTGGTAGCTGTGCCGACTCCAGGACAAGAAGGGTTGAGGGTCGTGTAACAGGTGCCGTGCTGTTTAGATATTGCCATTAGGGTGGAAGCCTGGGCCACACACAAGGACAACGGACCGTATCCCATTCATGCTAATAAGAAACGTGAACGAAAAACGTCAGGCACGACTTAGCGAAACTCGTATAAGTTAACTCACCTCCCAGAATGCTTCAGGACTTTCAGAGTTGCTAATCCAGAACTTTGTAAAAAGGAAGAAGGAAGCGATCATTAGTCGATGGCAATTCCAATTGTTACATGTCAAAGGAACGCTTACCGTGTTCATGTAGGTTATTAAGTCTTGTCTGCCATTAGCCTGAAGAACGTTGGTGATGCTTGGGTAATTGCGGGAGGAGTCACAGTTTTCACTATAAGTGCCTATGGCGGGTCTCAGAGAGGTCAACAGTTATCACTAATCACAGCCACATACCGTCGCCTGTAACGGGTAATCAAGTTTATCAAAAAAAAAAATTTAGTTCAATCAAAACTCGGATGCCCTTGTTTAGGCTCACAACTGAGAACGAAAGGTTTCAATCGTTAGCGACACGCCCGAGGACGACGGGCGAAGCCTACTTACTGGTCAGGCCAAAGCCCATGGATCGTCTGACAGACACATGGATTAGAACCGGCTTATGGAGCCGGATGAGAGCAATGTGTACCCAGCTGTTGGTTGGCCCCTCCGAGGGGTTCGTGTCCCAAAACTGAACCATGGTGATGAGACCCTATCAACAGAGGATTACGTCAATCAAGAGCCAAGTTCCGATGAGACACCCTAAACTAACACCCGGGGCCTCGAAGCAGCACAAATTGGACTGTGCCGTTGTGTTATGGCAGCTGACTGGAAGAGACGCTGAGCAACCTGACGCCGCACGAGGGAAGAGCATCGAAGAAGAAGAAACATCAGCACTGAGAGGGAAGGCGTGGACGTTAGCCAAGAGGCCAGAAGTAATGGCGAGGATAGCTGAGATCATTTTGTGGTTTGAATGGAGTCAGAAAAAAGTAGTAAATGCTGGCATCAATTTATACATCGCTGTCTTGAGGCGGACACCAGACGCGGCGAACAAGCCCGCCAGGCGCGGAAGCAGAGCAAAAATCGGCAAGGCGACTTGTCAGAACCTGTCGGGGTCCATGTGCGAGGAGAGTTGACTTTGCGCTTCGGCTTCGAAAACCAATGTGGTCAAAGCATCTGAGGTGATGCGTGCATAGCATGTACATCAGCCATTTTAGGAACGTGCGAGGAGCTCCTCGCCACTTGCAGCCTTCCGGCGATTCAACAAGGCTATAGGGGTAACTGAGATTTGAGCTTCGAATGAAAATTCTGCCAAGGAGGCGGAGCATCAAATTACAAACCTAAAAGCCGGGGAGCCGCCTCTAGCACATGGATGAAGCCAATCCTTTTGATGGCCTGCGACAAGGTGATGAGCGCTAGTCTAACGATCTACTTGATGTGGTCGAGCTGGGGCATGAAGTCAGTCCGCACCGCAGCAAGTCTAAAGAACGACGAGCATCTGAATCATGTTGCACATGGGGCATGGGTAGTCCGCGTTGGCCATTGATTCGTAGCGCATGATGCCAAGAATATTGAGGGGAAGGACTTGACGGACAAGAAGTCACCGCTTTGTCACCCATGGGCATTTCCTCCGCAAAGAACGGGAATGAACTCTAGAGAGAGTTGATTCTATAGGAATACACAACTGCACACATGCATTCTAAACTGACCATGCGCCGTATTGAGAATGTCTGATCAAGATCGGATAAGCAGATGAACTCGGCGAAGGATACCGTATTCATGAAGTCCACCAAGTCCTGTGATTGTCAATCCTCAAGCGACAATTAGTATGACGAAGAGTATATACTCATTTCGTCTAGAATAGTGATTGTATCTGGGGCGAGTGCATGAGAAACTTAACTTTGTACAAGATAAGAGCATACCATGACTGACCCATGTATACACGTCACCCTAATCTGTAGTATCTCGATGACAACTTGTGCCTCAAAGCGACGAGTGTCTTTTTGTATCGCGATATCGCGACAACTACCAGTAAACAAATAGGAATGTGTTATCAACGCCCCATTCCAAATAAATGCCACTAGTAATTGTAACTGTTCCATAAATCTTGTGTTGCCCCCCTGGCCCAATGGCTAGGGCATCAGACTTCTAACTCAATCAGAGTAGGTATCTGGGGATTGCGGGTTCGAGTCCCGCGGGGGGTTTAATGATTTCTTTTGCCCCTCTGAAAGGCATATAACTGGTTGGGACAGAGAACCGAGCTTACGATTGGGGAAGTGAGGCCCCTTGTGAGCACCGGAAGTTATATAGACGTACAAAGCCTAATCAAGAGTCGCTTTATATTTTGGTACCCTGCGTGAATTCGGGCGTTGTCGATCAGCAGTAGATTGAGGATCATGTTCAAGTTCTTACCACTACATTGACCGTGACGGTCATCCTCTCATGTTCTCCATACCAAGGAAGTTATCGTCATCTTTCGGCATTCTTGGAAACGACCCGAAGCTTGGCTTTCGTACTCAACCGTCGGGCATCAAGCGATTGGTGGAAGACCGGGTATGCTGCGTTCTGTCATTTGAATGGAGACCGTATTGATATCGCCACTATTCAGAACATCCCTGCTACAGACGATACATACTGGTCTCAAGTAGGCGTCTTGCTTATTCATACTCCTGATTGGAGCCACAGGCTGATCGCTTAGTGCCTAGTATGTGCTACTGTTCGACTCGCCCTCAGACGTCTCGTCTCTTATATCGCCCCACGATGGTACGTATTCACGCTTCTCAGACGGTCCTCTTCACTGAGACCCGCTGTTTCAGTCCGCCGGGCAATCATTGAAGCACCGGAGAATTTGGAAACTCTGATAAATGTGTTGTCAACGCGTCTATTCAGCCTTTTAACGGATCACACCTTTCCGTCACCGTCAACGTCAGCCTTCTCCCCCGCTAATATAACTGCAACGTGGGGATCTGTAGCTGGTACCGAGCGACGCGACACAACAAAAGAAGTCTTGAACTGCATCCGTGTTCTGGGGCGAATCCTCCCAGTGGTCTTTGAGACGGAGAATTCGTTTGAGCATGATGTTTTTTGGAAACAGAAGAGGGTGAGGGTCGATGCAGTTGTTGGTACCGATCGAACCGGGCCCCAGTTTGTCATTGAGGAGGACGAATCCGACGGCGAGAATCGCTCATCCAAGCAACCCGCCTCTTCAACCGCTGCTAGACCTGCTGCTGTAACCGATGACCAATTCGAGAAGCCACTTGCGGAGAAGTTACTATCGGCGTCAATCGAATTAATGTTCTGTTGTGGTTTCACATTGCCGTCCAAACTTCAGGTGGATCATCACAAAATTAATTACACAATATGGTACGTCTAGAACCAGAATTACAAGACGGTGGATTACCTTACCTGACGCCATTTCAGGGAGAAAGGAATCGGTTCTTCAGTGGAGGTTGTTAGCAACTACCAGCTCGACCAGAACAAGTCAGAAGTCTTGCGGTTTTTGGAGATTCTGCTGTCCAAAACGATCTACACATCGCCAAACTCAGTGCTCCTCCTTTCTAATCCATATATCGCTCGCCTGGTGCATAATCACCACACTCCTCGTCGGCTGGTTCTACCAATGCTGTGCTCGTTATTGAACACTGCCATGAACAGCAGTATTCGCAATCACGCCTCGCGCTCTTCTGTCTCTGGGATGGGAAGTGTAGGGAGCATGGTGAACGGTGTTGGTGGTATTGTCACGAATCTACCGTACCAACATCTCATTATGAGAGACGAATCCGGACCAGCTCTTGTCAGCCTATCGTTCGGAGTCCTGTTGTCACTCCTGGATTACCAAGCGGCCGAGGCGAGAGACGCAACTACTAGTGCTGGAGAGACCGTGACGCCATCAGTAGGACCATCACCTTCTGTGTCTGATCTATCCGCGGCACCGACGGGCATCACCAACTCGTTCCGGTACTTCTTGGCTAAGCTTGTCAGTCATTGTGCATCAGGCCGATTAACTCTCGCAAACTTAACTAATTACCTATCCTTCTCCCATAAAGCATCGCCCGTCAGACCTAGATTATATTCTGAACGGCATCATCGGCATCCTTGGGCAACACATCAACGCAACCCACAATGTGTTACCTGGGTCCCGAAAGATCGTGCCGCATACGTTGGAAACTTGTATGTCCGGCTTCTCTTGCTTTAACAATCCCAGAGCTGAGGTCTTTGTCATAATATAGTCTTATTCCTCTGGAAGATGATTGAACTCAACAAGGTTAGAGATCGTGGGACGGGTATAAGACCGAGACTGAGATTTATTCTCACCCCAGAAATTCCGAAGCCATATTTTCGAATCGGACAAACTAGGTGATATCTTAGCGTACTTGCTTGTGTTCTGTCTAGAACATAAGGATAAGCCTCGTGAGTAAGAACTATAGTCACATAGACCGCCTCCTCATCGTCGTTCTCGATAGAGCATCATGGACTCGTCAGAGCTCTATCTTATATCGTCCAGTGTCTGTCGGCCGAATCTGCATTCGGGGACCGGTTATCTCAACCTATCCCCTCCAGAGTATCCATACCGTCGAGATGGCTAACGCAAGGCTCTCTCGGGGATTTCTTTGTGACAGTCAGTTCAAGTGTACTGAATTGGTATCATGTGGCACTGATTGTGATCCGTGCTGTACCAGTCTATTTACTGGATGGTGGCCACGACGGCTGGTCAATTGAATTTCTTGTACCCTGCACTCATCATCGCACTGGCGAACACCGCACCATACCTGAAGAATCTACAGGTCACTTCTTCGAACCGACTTGTTCAACTGTTCGCATCATTTTCCAATCCCTCATTTCTTCTATCAGACGAGAGTCACCCTCGTTTGGTGTTCTTTATGTGGGCATTGTCTACATCTTCCCTGGATTATCGCGCTAATCGAACCATCTGATCCCATATTTACAGTGTCGAAGTTCTAAATCAGATCATCTTTCATCAATTTTCCTCCAACCCCAACCTGATATACGCCATACTCCGTTCACACAAAACATTTGAAGATCTGGGCACCTTCACCCTATCAAAGGGGCTTCGAGAAATTCGGCGCGTGAAGGAGGCGAAAGAGGAGGCCGAAAGGATCAAGGCCGGCAAAGGAGACGACAAAGGTAAGGCCGTCGAGATGGCACCCCCGACGCGGTCTTTGGTTCGAGCACACTCTCCCGGGAGTCGTACATCCCTGACGGATGATCAGAGCTCGGAGAAGGCGCCGCTGAACCGAACGACCTCGGAGTCCTTGGGCCGGTCCTCACAAGATGACGAGGGAGAACGGCCAGTGCCGATCCCGCAAACGCCAACGGAAAGGTCGTTGTCCAGCCTACGGCTAACATCACCTCCCCCTTCCATTCCTGGGAGATCAGAGAAAGCGCGGGGGAAAATGAGACAGAATGACCCTCTTGATGAGGAATATGATCCTGAATTGGAGAGGATAGCAGCAGCGGGAGTCGGACGGAATGGATTTGTGCCAACGCAAGAATGGGTACGTGGTCGCTTTTCATGAGAATGCTATTGCAACTGAACATATCACACCCTCATATCCAGGTGACATCTTGGCAAGAAAGGTCAGTACTGCTTCCCCGAAATCATTTTATATGAACTCATTTTTGCGCAAAGTCTCCCTCTGGACACGGTTCTCCTCGTCATATCCGAACTATTACCAAAAGTTCGCGAGCTTCAAGCCTCCTCTAGCCAATCCAAGTCAACAGGCGCGATGCTCGATTATCTTAGAGTGGCTGATATGACAAAGGTTTTACCTCCGGCTTCGCCACTGGCCCCACGTCGCTTTCAGGTGCGCGCCGAAGCTTGTCTCCTGGCATACTGTGAACTAATGCACTCATTTTAGTGGTCGGACGCTTCTCTGGTCTGGCTGAGCTCTCTAATCTGGGGTGAGATATACGTCAAAGGAACTAGTCCACTTGGAATATGGAATTCTACCAACGTCAAGCTATTCGGCGTGCGGCACACCCCTCAAGCTCGGGGAGTCTCCGACTTTGTGGGTGGACTTTTGGGCTCGGCAACAGGTTCACCTGCCACCCCACCAGACCCCAGGATGAGCCATTCCCGTCGGCCATCAGCGACCAGGCAGACGTAATGTCTCCAGAACCGAAGGCTGAATGCAAGAGACCAACCAGTGTTGGTTAAAAAAAAAACCTTATTCTTTTGATCATGTTACATATTGTGTACAGGTGGAGTTCGGCGAAGCGTATATTTACTGATTATAAAAACAATCCAATGGGGGCAAATCAAAGGGTAGCAGAAAGTAGAAAAGTGGGGAGTGTACGCAAGAGCTGAGAATGTAGACGTTGAACAAGACCGAGACAAGACGCTTATGGTTTAGCAGCATCGATTAGGCTGCTGATCCCAGGAAGTTGCAGTCTCTCTGACGATGTCTGACCTTGACTAGATGCAGCTAGGGAGTGAGTCAGCGGAGGCAGATTGGGTTCGACACCGTTAGGGGGAGGCACGCTGTAACCAGTTGGTGGCCTATGATTGTAAGGGTGGGTCGTAATTGGCGGGAGCGGTCCCGGACCCTGCTGCTGACCAGAGTAATAGCCGGCGTTTGCCATTGGATATCCATACCAAGGTTGCGAGTAGATCGGCTTGTGGTTGCCATTCGCAGCAGGTGGAGCGGGGAGATGCTGGGGTTGTCCATATACGCTACTTTGAGCGTGTGTTGATGGTGGCGGCGTGTAATAATAATAATGAGGTGGGGGAGGAGCATAGTATTGTGTGTTGTGCGGCGGTGGTTGAGGAGGGTAGACAGGCCTTGCGGTATAAGGAGGATAATACACCTGATACGCGGGGTTAGAAGGCACAGCAGACTGTGATCCGTAGGGAAGTAGTCCGGTTGGACTATATGTGAGCGAAGGAGGAGGATACGCAGGTTGGGAAGTTGAAGGAACTGGTCCTGGCACGTGGGTACTGTAGGTCTGGGCTCCCTTCACCGTGGGGACAGCCCTCGGACGGGATTGTTGTGAAGATGCTGATGCCATTGCTGGATAAGGTGCTAGTTTCGGATAAGACGAGCCGTTGGAGGTTGTGGCAGTAGCGGTGACCGCTGGTCGCATTGCCTTGGCTGAATTAATGAAACTGATCAGTCCCAGACAAAAAACCTCAGGGAGGGTGTAGCTCACACTGGGCAACCTCCTCTGCGACCTTTCTGACAAT